AAAAAAAAAAAAAAAAGGCAACTGACTCATCTGTTGAAGACATATTTCGTTGAGATACACAAACGAATATATTCATGTAATGACTCGTCAAGAAACCAAAAAGCCTTGAAATAAAAACTAGCACGGTACCTAGTTGAAACCCGAAAAAAGGAAGAATAAAATGACATCATTTTGGTCTTTTATTCTCTAATTGACTATTCAATTGTGTACCCATATGAAAGATAGTAGAATATAAAAAACATAATCATGAAACCTTTTTACAATTAAACCATTAATAATTCAACAAAGCTGCAAGATTCATTTCTTTTTTCCTTTTGCAACTAAAAATGTGTTTTAAGAGAATTGAGAACTTAACTTTTTGGTGATGGAGAAGTAGAGTGAATATAGCATTTTAAATGACAAATTTTCTTTATTTTCATGGTATAGTGATCAGTATGACGCACTATAAGGGAAAGATATAAAATACCTGAAAATGATGTGTTGTCAACATGTTATATGGTATAAAAAGTTCAAGAATAAGGTCAGAACATACTTGTCATAAGGCATATCTGAGCACTTCCAATTCGAATTTAACAAAATGTCATGGTAAATCCGGCATTCCTCCTTGGAGCGGAGACGGAACCTGCGCAATTTGTTGCACTGACTGCATCGAATAAGCTCATCGCGGTGACAAGGTTTCCCAGTTTGGGACCGGTGAGATCCATTGGCATTTTTCAATGCTTTATTGTAATATTTGAGCAGTGCAGTTTTAAATATTGGAACTTTCTCGCCATCAACAATGACCCAAATATTGTTCTTCCATTTCCTGGCAGTTTCTCGTCCAGAATGCTTCTCAAATGCAGCGGGTGTCAATTTGTCTACAATGCAATTATTTACTCAAAGCTCAGGGAAGTAACCCATCAAGTGAAGAAAAAATAATTACATAATTTAGCAAATACAAAAATTACAGAATTTGAGATGCACTTGTCTGTGACAGTACAACAGTTATATGCCAATCCATAACAGATAATTTTTTTCCTTGAGCATCTTTAGATGCAACATCAACAAACACATAAGATAGACACTGGGACTTGCAGAATGGACCGGCTTAAAGCAGTCTAATCTGAGCTTCTAATTTCTAGATTTACCGCCCTATTAAATAAATCAGATGGCACTTTGTTCAATCAAAGTATACATATTTATTTAACACGCACCGAGGTAATACATTTTACATTTATACATGCTTTGAATGATAACAATAACAGAATCTTGAGAACTTTAACAACTGTGTTTGCTCATTTTAGCTGGATGCTATCCTACTAAGAAGGAGGAGTCATTTGACAAGACTTTTCCCATGTAGCATTCTGTGCAAACAAGCCTTAACTTCTAGGTGAGTTATAATCACATCCCCAGACAAAGTTAAAGCATTTCTATATCTTGTTTCAATAATTTATTATTTTGATTCAATAGGTAGGTCCAAGTGAAGCTTATTAACTATTCCACTTTGCCAAGGGAAAGCACACGAGCATAGTTCCTGAACAAGTATTCAGTTAGCTTAGATGTCAAAAGATGGACATTCATCAAGAAAGTAACTCCTGACCATTGAGCCATCTGACAAGTAAACTAGATATACAAAATATATCGGAAACGAAAAACATTCATGAAGAAAATATTATATTCTGCAAATAGATACACAACCTAACTTCAAAAACTACCCAGGCTTCCTCATTCCTAAATAAATGGCATAGCTCTTTTTCAAATTCAGACAACACATTTATGTCCTAACTCTACAAAAAACGAGGAAGAAGTATTTCACAAACAAAACTGAAAAATAAAGCACCCATTGAGCTCCATAAATGATGACATTAAGATTTCTGACTTCTGCAAACAGTGCGACAGAACTCTGCATAAAGCACACACAAACAACAAAACCATAGGTGCAAGCAAAGTATAATGCAGGATACTTACTCTCCTGTACATGCTTCACAGTTTCATTTAAAACTTAAAGATGCACCATTTTAATCAAAAACCACAACACAAAGCAAGAACCATGTAAACAATGTCTGAACCATATAAACAAGGTTTCAGACTATAATAACAATGACATATCAATTCATTTAGACAAATCAACATACACTTAACCTGTACAGACCTCCAATCCCTAAAACAGACCCATAAACCGCATCATTTCATGTTTAAACACGAGCCCATTATACAATCTTCAAACACAGAACAAGCACATCATGCATTCAAGCAGAATAGCCTTAGGCCAAACAACATTGCACATGATGCTTATGTATCTTCTTCCGTGTTTATATGCGCGTACGCAAATAGACTCGAATAGATAAATGATGCGTAGATGAATATATAAAAACCTTCTTGGCAACCAGGAGTGCATTCACAGTGGATTTCAAGATCACCCGAAGCGAAAACCCTAAGCGTTCCAACAGCGTCGCCATAGGTATGGCTGGTGCACCCACAAGTCACCTCCACGTAATCATCGCACCGTTTGAATCCAGTCATGTCTCTTACCTCATCGTCGCTGAACAACATGGCGCCACCGTTCTCCATATTCTTTCGCTTTCTCACTTCGCTCATTCTCTCCCTCACTCAAACGCCCTCTGTCAAACCCAAAAATCAAAAACAACTTAAAATAAAACAAACCCACATCATAAAAATGCTACAAAAAATAAAAAAAGTCTAATAAAACAAAACCACTTTCCACCGCTTCAGTGCCCTTCTGAGTGTGTGCGTGTATATACATTAAGATTGCATATTGGATAAACACTCAGGCAATGTATATAAGGATATAAATGGATGGCTCAGAAGGAGGGACTGGGGGAATTGGCTTAGCAAGCACGCACCTGCCTGCCAAGAGGAGATCTGATAAAGAGAGCGTTATAAAGGAGGGTTTTTTATCACGTCTGCGTGAGAGATAGAAAAGAGTATTCATTTTGGGCTTTTGTTACTAGGGGAACAGATTGAGCTGGCGAAAGCTGACTAACATATGTCATCAATTGAATTGAATAGAAAAGGTGTGTGGGTGTAATTTCGAGGACTGTGTTTCTTCCATCAGATAAAAAGTGGCCGAGGTTTTTCAAGACTGTACTTTGCAAATTTTTTAACAATTTTGCCTCATCTGGGCACTGTTCATGGATGCTTTTTCTATCCTTAAACTCAATTGTACTAAACACAAGTGTAAAGTGAGTCGAGTTGGCCGAACAAAAATATAGTTCGATTTGAATGTTAGAATAATTTGGTTAGTGTTGGGTCGATCCACGTGATTGACGACATGATCCAACATGTTTCGACCACATTATGTATTCATCATATACCTCTAGCAATAGACATGCTCAACTAGTATATAGTATATGATTAACTTTATTACAATGCAGCGTAGGGGAGTAGGTCTAGGGTGAAAGTGGCCCAATTCATTTTTGTCACAACTCAACTTGCCTTCGACATGACCCACCTTTCGATCGAGTTGAGATTTGCTGTTATATGTACTTTGACTGTTGGTATCTAGGTACTTCAATCGTTGTTAGTAAATCGAAATACGTTACTTTAAAGGTGATGTGATAACGCGAATTGATGCTTAAGGCGTCAATATTACGGAAAAAATAATTAAGGCGATAGTAAATCTCGACTGTGATTCACCTACCACAAATCTGTACTGTCGTGATGAGTCAATCATAGGAAAAATTCAAAATTTTATTTGTGTGTATTTTAAATTTGCTCAATTATTCTGTAACTAGAAGATGACGAAAGTGGGCATCTTACGAAATGTCATAAATTCCTAAATGGAATCTTAATAAAGCTATCTTTGCATTAAATTTGCAGAATGTTTATTGCATAGTTTTTATTAGAAAACACACTGGATGCAAATAGTAATGAGTAATGATATTCATCCCCACTGGGTTGAGCCTCAGTCTATGTGGCAATTACATTACATGGCATGAATTATAGATTTATTTAAATACAAAGTCAGGTGATTCATTGAATTGAATTTATCATTTAGTATCATGTAATCACCACATAAATTGGGGCCCAAACCCAGTGTGGATGAATAGTATTATTCAAGAGTAATAGACGTCAATTGATTGTTGACATTTTCAAGTAGTAGAATGAAACATGTATGTCCACGTTTCTCAAAATGTATTTCAGATATTTTTTTTTTTAAATGTATTAGAAAATTATGTAGAAACGAGAAAATAATTTTTGCAATAAATGTTCGATGTTATCCATAGTAGCTCAACTAACAAACTAAGTAATCAGATCAGTATACAACAAGCAGCCTATCACATGATATAATATTTGACGCCACATGGCTACCCATGGGCTCTGCAAACATGACACGTGTGATAAATTGCGTTGAAAAGATATCTTTATGTGTCAATCAAAATATCAAGAATCAAGTTTATTATCTACTTTGAATTCACATAACCATTTTAGCAACCGCGCAAGTAGTGATGGCAATCGAACCGAGCGGCTCTTCAGCTCGACCGCTCGGCTCGTACTGACATAGTTTTTATTAGAAAACACACTAGATGCAAATAGTAATGAGTAATGATATTCATCCCCACTGGATTGAGTCTCAGTCTATGTGGCAATTACATTACATGACATGAATTATAGATTTATTTAAATACAAAGTCACATGATTCATTAAATTGAATTTATCATTTAGTATCATGTAATTACCACATAAATTGGGGCCCAAACCCAGTGTGGATGAATAGTATTACTCAAGAGTAATAAACGTCAATTGATTGTTGACATTTTCAAGTAGTAGAATTAAACGTGTATGTCCACGTTTCTCAAAATGTATTTCAGATTTTTTTTTTTTTAAATGTATTAGAAAATTATGTAGAAACGAGAAAATAATTTTTGCAATAAATGTTCGATGTCATCCATAGTAGCTCAACTAACAAACTAAGTAATCAGATCAGTATACAGCAAGCAGCCTATCACATGATATAATATTTGACGCCACATGGCTACCCATGGGCTCTGCAAACATGACACGTGTGATAAATTGCGTTGAAAAGATATCTTTATGTGTCTATCAAAATATCAAGAATCAAGTTTATTATCTACTTTGAATTCACATAACCATTTTAGCAACCGGGCAAGGTTTTTTTTTTTTAATAAATTAAAATCGTATATTGAATAATATTCTCATGATCGTGTCCATACATTTCAACATGCGTTAATGTCTTTATTCAAAAGTCCATTTTAATGGCCAAGACAAACCTTTGAGTGGGATGGTAAAGTCCAGCTTTGTTCATTAGTATATGAATTATGTCTCAATCCATAACTATTCTCATGACCCATGGAGATGCATGTATTTACATGTTACATTGTCTCTTGTTAGCGAATAGGAAAACGCAAAAGTGTAATGTATCGAGGTGTAAGAAAATAGGATGACGTCTTCATATTTTTTAAGCGTCAAAATTATATTGGAGGACAGCAAATCTAACTTTAAAAAAAAAAAAAAAAGAATTTCAAATCAAAGCAATCTAAATGTTAGAATATTGATATAAAAGTTTGAACTTTCCAACATGAATCTATACATAAAATGAAAGGAAGGTTTAGTGAGTTGATCTACCCATTTCATGAAAGCTACACAAATGTTGGCAATTAAAGAGAGGAAAATAAGTGAAAAATGAAATAAACGACACAAAATGAACAAGAAGAGAACGTTCTCATCATTAAGAGTAGTTTCATCATCAAACGTTAGAAAAATGGTTCGAAAGTATGAATTTGAGATCGACCCATACATATTTTTAATTGATAATATGACCATGGTCTATTTTTTGCCTTCACTTTTTATTCAAAGTAGAGGTATATAAAGTCTTTTAAATGATTAAATATAGGAGTTTTGTCATTTATCGATCATTAAAAGTAAGTGAACAAAATAAATAGGTCTAAGGCCCTGTTTTATACTACCTTTTTTCCATGGAATTGGAAATTAAATTCCATCTTAAAAAATAAAAAATGCATTTTTGATTGGCAACATTTTCTAGTCTAACCATTTTCTTGGTTTCCAGCCACGCGCCCATCTTTCCATATTTTTGGTGAAAACCAATTCTCACATTTTTGGTGAGAATTTGGTTTCCAACCTACATTTTTTTTGACAATTGGAACAAATTTCATAATCAATTGTAAACTTTTTTTCACTTTAATGGACAATTTCCATATAAAATGAAGTCAAACGAACACTAAACTTTGATTGAAGAAATGATTTTTTAGAAATTTTTTTTTTTTTTTACTTTTTGGCAATGGATACAAATTTTATAACCAATTGTGGAAAAAATTATTACCTTAATGAACAATTTTCATGTAAAACAAAATCAAATGAACACAAAAAGATTCAAAATTTTAACATTTTTCAAGTGAAAAATTATATCAATCAAACACACTTAATTAACAATTCTCGAAAAAATAAGTTCTAGACAATTATTTTCTTTGGAATTCATTTTATTTTCACCATTACAATCAAACTGGCACTAATAGTAAATATCACATAACTTTACATAACTCGGATACATAAGAAAGTAACAATTTGTGAGATATTTAGGCAACGCATATACAAGAATACAACTTTGTAGTCCAGTTGCCATTTTATTCAAACACGTTATGTGTTCCCTTTACATTATAGAAAATATCGCAAGTTTACATATTTATTTGCTTGTTCAGTAGAGTACATTGTATGCTACAGGTCAATATTTCAAAAATTGATAGATCCCTGAAGTTGTCTGAGTGAATCTAATTCTAGCAAAATTGGTTGAAGAACTCTTTATCATTTCCCACTCTTGCGTGATAATTAGTACATGAAGAAAAATGTGTATCAAAATATAAATCTGTATGATGATCATCATGCCACATGATCATATCTTTCTTTTGTTCGAGCTACAATTTTTTTGTTGGGTAGAGTTAATTTTCACAATAAGGCGATTAGGAAGAATCGCCCTTGACCTCGACCTAATCGCATACCCTATTCATAGATCGCATCGTATAGGTTGATGTCAATTTGTATTTAGGCTCGAGATAAAAAAATATAACATATGGAACTAATCTTATTTTATCAATCGTAATTATTCTGTATTTTAATCGATTTCGTTGTGTATCATACATGTTCTAAGAGATTTTGGCTAGTTTATTGCTATTAAATAAAATATACTAAGTACGTCTTGAATATAATTTTATTAGAATTTTAATTAAAATCCAAACAAATATTTTATTTTACCCCAAATGTAGTTTATAAACAGGAGTTCGGACCCCGGGCCAATTTTTGGTCAATCTGGTCCTACATTCGTGTACGCAGGTCGCGCTCGCACACAAGTTTAAGGTCCAAAGCCTATTTCGGTCCGTGATTTGCACCTCCCCCTGACTGCGCACGTGGAGAGAGTCTCTATACTACATATGATTACACCATTCTAAAGTGCAATATTTTATAAAGTGGTTTTAATTTTCATCAACTTCCTATGTGGGACAAACTTAATTTTTAGTTTTCCCACCAACATAAACTCATTTCACATGGCATTCTTTGAGTTTTAATTTCTCATTCA